AATTCTTTTACCCAGTTTGTTTATGGATTTCCTATTTTAGTTCAGTCTTGACCCACAGATGAGTGTGTGCCAGCTGTCTCCTTTTATATTTGGGTGGACACCTGCAAGTGGTGTGTGGCAAACAACGAGGGCACGGAGGAGGAAGGAACACACACAAGCTGCCCACTTTGACACTGACGCCTCCCCTCCTCTCTATGCCAAGTGAAAAGATTCCTGGTTTTGTTTCACTCTACTCCTCTTCTCAATGGTGTTGAAGCCTGTGCTCAGTGTGTGCACTCAGCTCTCCACTCGTCCCCTTGTGTCCGAGGTCATGCCCGGCTCTTTTCTAACGTCCCCCTCGTACAACTCCAATGTTCCACTTTTTCATTTCATTCTCTATGATATTTTAGAACTACATGGTGGCATCAAAGTACATTCAAGGATTAGTCTTTCTCAAAGAACACAATGTATATGAGCTCCCTGAACGTCAAACAAAAGAATTTATGCTCAAGCCTAAGCCCTTTGACTACAGCACTATTGATCTGGCTTTGATAAACAGAGTCCCTGCTTCATAGGTTAGGCTTTCTTCAGAGTTCTATTTTCCACTCACAGGTATTATATATGTAACCCACAGACATGCATCTCAGAAGTTCTAGGAATGTAGCATTAAGACAATTTTTACTTTCTGATCAATGGGTCAGACATTGCAGTTTAAAGATCTGATATTGATGAGCTAGAAGTTAAAAAAAAGAGAATTGGAATTCTGTCTCTTTTTTAATGGGACACATGCAGAAATGTTCACAAAGAGGAAGTTTCACGGTCAAAGGTGAATCAACTATGGATCTCACCAACATTAAAAAGTCGGAGGTATCTGTTATATGTCTACAGCTCTCATCATCACCACCATTATTAATCATTATTAATTTCAGTGTTAAGTGGAAAGGAATTGTGGTTTCCCCAGTTTTGTAGCTAACAGTTTTGCCATTAAAGAGAAAGCAGCATGTGTGGCCAGATTGTCTCTCACAGGGCTTGTGAACACTTTCTATTGTCCCCAATGTGGTGGCCATGTGTTTGTTTTTCAGCTGGCTGAGATGTAAGCCAGACACAATTTAGAGGAAACGAGAGAGAGAAAATCATCTAAGCTTTTCCAGGTTATGTGTTTTTAACTCCTAGGTTAAAAAGGTGTGTATGTATGTTTAAAAGAGAATAAATACTATGCAACATTACTGTTCTAGCCAATTATTTACATTTTGATAAACATTAAAATGATCAACCTCATTCAGCTATAAAAATTTAGTGCTCCTGTGTGCAAATCAAAGCTATGCATTGTGAATGTGATCAAGGAATGTTTGTGACACAAATGAATATATGATTTCACTGATGGGAAATATGTAGAAAAAGAAAATTGTGATCTGCAGGGTCTTACCTACACACAGAAAATGCACCCAGTGTTTTAAAATCCAACAAAGGAATTGTTTGATTAAATATTAGTAGTCATAATAATAATACTGAGACATGGTAAATGACTCGAAAGCAGTGGGAACACCTTAGACAGACATAAAAAGCAAACACTTTAAAACTATGAAAAATACTTTAGAAAATATTTGGGTTAATCCTTGAGTACTACCAATAACTAAGACTTTTTAAATTTTTTAAATTTTTTTATTTTAAGAAATAAAAGAAGGAAAACATATTAACAAACAGACATCCATTTACAAAATAGCATAAGAACAATACAAACAAAACAGAGTTATAGACAAAGTTGTAGGAAATTAACAATGGTTGTTGTATTACTTATTGGTATCTTCAAGGTCATTTCTCAAAAACACAGAGACATACAAGACTGATCAAACAAGTAATCATTAACTGTTCCTTTCTGTAGAGCAACAGAAGACAGTAGTACAACTGTTAGCTATCCTGTATATACATAATTACATAATTTCCCCTTCTTTCCCTTCTCTTTTCCCACAAACCAGTTGCCCTTTACTTTTGAGCATTTTACTTTCGTTTCACTAAGACTTTGAGATAGTACATCAGGTCTACAAAGATACATGTATCTTTTTAAAAACCAGCGCATCCCGATGGGGAACAAGATAGCCTTGCCTGTGACCCAGCATAACCTTTCTACCCTCCAACTCGGAGCTGCTTTGGTCTTCACTCTAATGGCAGAGGCCTCAGGATCCTGTAGTCAGTTAACAGCAGTTTCAGGTTTTCTCTTCTGAAGAATAAGCTGCTCATGGGCATACTGCAGAGCCTTTTTCAGCTAAGCGACAATTACACTCTGTCCTTTGCAGTTTATTCTACAATTTCATTTATATATCAAAATTATATATACTGGATTCTTCTTATTTCATCTTCTTTAATTAATTTGGAGAAATTGAATAGTTTAGTTTTAAGCACTGCAGAAAGTATAAAATGACAGGGATGTTACTGGCTTTCATTCAGAAAAATTTATTGTTGACTAAGCCATTAGTGAATTTGCACTTGAATTTTTATTTTCCTCTTGCAAGTAATAGATTTGCTATTGGCACACTTCCCTCTAATCTCCTTTTGTGAACAAGGATGCTGTGTGGTTATGGGCAGAGCGTATCTAATATGACTCAAAGAGACAAACCCATCACCCTGGACTCAGAACTGTGTGATTTCACTAGCTGAGAGAACCAGCCACCTCCTCCTCAGTGTGTTGGCGTTCTTAGGTGGCTGAAAGCAGAAATGGAATCTGACTATGCAAAGCACAAAAAAAATGCATCAGAAAAATTGAAAGGAAAGCTGAAGTACTCAGGTCTTGGAATGTACTAAGCTGAAACTGTTCAAGGGATCTGCAGGGTAGTAAGACATAATGGACCCTTTTTTTTAGTAGTGGGAGAGGCAGTGTTTTTGATCATGTCTTTCTGTTTGAGATTCAAAGTCTAGGAAGTCAGTTTGATTAGCCAAATCAGGATCTCCTGACCATTGCCTGAAAAGGGGAAGACCCACAAATTCCCAGTCAGTTCCAGAATGCCACTGGGGAGATGCTTCCCGAAGAATATGCAGCTGTCCTTAGCAGAAGGAGACAGGAACGGGATCTGAAGGAGGGGAACAGCAGATGCCCACAACACTGAGTGGTGACTCACTGTGGGAACAGAGACCACCGGAAATAAATGAACATCCACATGCATCTGGACAGCTCAAGGATGCGACAAGTAAAAACGTTATCTAGATCTAGCTCTGTGTAGTAGTTTTACGTACTTTTTTTTTTTTTTTTTTTGGTTTTTCTCCGGTACCGGGAACCGAAGTGTAGTAGTTTTAAATGGGGCAATTAGTAGCAGTTTTTCTTTGCGAGGCTCCCTGCGCTGCCCAGTTCTGAGTCGCGTGTGAATAACTCGTTTATTAAGCATCTCTTTCCAGTGAGCATAATTTATCCACCTACCCGTATTGCTTCTGACTACCCCACTCATTTCATTTTACCGAATTCTGACTTCAAGTCTGTTTCTTTCGAAACCCATTTCTTTACATTAAAAGATAAATGAAAAACCATGGGAGAGACTTTACTTTTAATATTTTACAATGGTGATTTAAATTTGTAAAATTTAAAGCCAAACCTCCTCATTAAGTGTAGAGAAAAAGGGGAAAATGTCAGACAAAATGCCTGAGGATGCTTTCTGAGCTCTCTTAGGCAGACCAGAACTCCCCAGTGCCCGGTGGAGATGCACGATGATCATCCCTTTTCTCTGAGTACAAATCCGCCAGCCATTTGAAAGATTCAATGCTTCAGCGTTAGCAAGCTTTGTTCCTGTAAAATTTCACTTTGGGTTATTAAAATATCCACTGTAGGAAACAGATTTGTAACCCATTTCTCATATTACCTATAGTCAGAAAAACAAAACTTGATATCCTGGAGTTTATTTGCTGAGGGCACTTCCCATAAAAGCGGATGAGTGAGCGCTGGGAAATCTGTCTGGTTAACTCCTTTATGGAGTCACAACTGCCTCCCAACACACACTTTCACCCCAGCACCCCCTGCCTCCTGCCTTCCGGCCTGCTGGCCTTGCTAGGGCTGGTGACCTAATAGCATTTTTCTTCGTGCATATTTTGGCATTGGCCCATGGCCTGGCTGCCTTCGCCTGTCTGAGCCTTTTGAAATTCCTGCATGTTCGCCCCAGATTAAGCTGAGTGCGTCTCAGGATGCGTGTTCCCTTTAGTTCTTTCCGCTTAAAGTGCCCTTTGCAACGTGTCTGGGGGAGGAGACGGTAGGGGGAGGGGAGAGGGAGGGGATGAACAGAGAAGAGAGGAGAGAGCAGGGGAAGGGGAGGAGGA